CTGACTCAGGTTTGACCTGCAGTACTGCTATCTGACTCCAGCTTGACCCTTCGCTTGGCTGCCTGACTCAGACTCCAGTCCTGACCCCCCCCCCCCATGCGATTCCAGACACTGATTCTGGATCAACCTTTGGCATGACTCCTGAGCTCGACTGTAGCCCCAACCCTTGGTGAGATCCTGACTTTGACTCCAGCTCTGACTTTGGCCGTAGTTCCCAATTTCCAACTGCAGCTCTGAGCACTAGGCCTGATGGCTCATGTCCTGATCTCTACACAGATGTGTTAGAGATTGTAAAGAAACTCTCTCTTGTAAGACTGTATGAAAGGTCATTAGGCTCCATCCATGTTCCTGACCAGCCCTTTCCTTATTTCTTATAGAAACAGACAGAAACCGAGAGACAGAAAATTGTGTCTGAATTTCAGCAACTGCAGCAGTTCCTGGAGGAACAAGAGCGATTCCTGCTGGCCCAGCTGGAAAAGCTGGACGAGGAGATTGTGAAGATACAGAATGAAAATGTCAGTAAACTCTCAGAGGAGATTTCCCATCTCAGTGAGCTGATCAGTGAGCTGGAGGGGAAGTGTCAGAAGCCAGCAAGTGAATTCCTGCAGGTGAGACTGAGCTAGAAACTTCAAGTCCCAACACAGGGACAGGACAGCTGGACCCCTGGGCACAGGGGTCCAGCAGTTAGAGATCTCAGTGTAACTCAAAGTGTGCTGACATGTGAATGACGATTGCTCTTTGCAGACTCACAGACACATTAATATTAGAGATGGAAAAGCCCCATTAGCTCAGTGAAACCTTGGCCCTGGGGCCAGGGCAGGGCCGATTTTCCCTGTATTTGCAAAATCTCTTTCCTGGAATCCCAAGTCAGGTGGTACTGAGATTTTTTTTTAAAACCTCTCTCTCTCTCTCTCTCCTCTAGGATGTCAGAAGCACCTTGAGTAGGTACGTGGCTCTCTCTTACTCCCACACATACTTGGCAATGCTGGGATAGAGCATGGAGATGTTAGCACTGCATCTCCACAGCAACATGTGTGGGGAAGGTCACATTTTGGATACAAATCTCTCAGATAAACTTAATCCTGAGGTTCTCACCCTGGAATTATCCATTCAGTGGGAAGGACTGACCTCAAGTGTTTCCTAGAGATGTCACATCCCTGGGGGACTTGCTGCCTCAGGATTGTGGGGATGGAATATGGGCCTGTCACTGCTGGGGCCCTGGTTACCATTCAGCCTAGGGCAGCAGTGGGCAAGAGTCTTTCCCACCAGAGTCTTTCCCAGCCTGAGGGTTGTTAGGAGACCTGTGAGGAATGAGCTGGAGAGGGGGGGAGTTGGTGTCTCTGTCCACTAGGAACTAGACTGATTTCTACAGCAGTTCACATAGGAACCTCCAGTCCCTCAGAGCATGGAGGCCAAGGAGTGAATTGGCCATGGAGACTCAATTCCCCTTTTGTCCCCAGAGCTAATGTCACCAGATCAGAGTTGAACAATATTAATGAATCCTTTGAAGGGAGGGTTGTGCAGCCATGGGCTGTGTTGCAGCTGCTCTGAGGCTGGGAGAAGTTGAGGAATTTGAACTCCAGGCCCATTTGAGCAGCGACTCACTAGCCAGAATTTATAATGAGTCACACAATGAAATAGAATCACATGAATTTTTTTCTCTCTAGGTGTGAGAAGGGGAAGTTCCAGCAGCCAAAGGAGATTTCTCCTGAACTGGAAGAGCAAGTCAGCAATTTCTCTCAGAAAACTATTGTGCTATCAGAGACTCTGAGGAAGTTCAAAGGTACCTAAAATGGATCTAGTAATAGAAATTGGGATGAACCTCTGAGACTGTGGGAAGAGAATGGTGCTGGTCAATTGGTTCACACTTAGATGATGCTTCTAGTTAATTGTTGGGTGTGAATGCCAGACACTTGGGTCCAAGACACTCAGGTTGATTAATTCAACCATGCCTTTCATTTACAATTACAAAGAAAGAAATGACTCAGACTTTAATGTCAGAGGGGACTATCATGATCCATCTACTCTGACCTCCTGCACATTGCAGGCCACAGAACCTCCCCACCCACTCCTGCAATTTACCCCTGAACTCTGTCTGAATTACTGACATCCTCAAATACTGATTTACAGACTTCAAGTTACAGAGAGTCCACCATTTATTGGAGTTTAACATCTGTAAATGATACATGCCCCATATGGCAGAGGAAGGCAAAAACAAACAGGGTCTCTGTCAATTTGATTTGCTGGAAAATTCCTTCCCTATCCCAAATATGGTGGTCAGTTGGACATTGAGCATTTCAGCAAGACCCAACAGCCAGACCCCTGGGAAAGATTTCTCTCTAACTCAGAGCCCTCCACGTCTAGTGCCACATCACTAGCCATTGGGATATTTGCTACTAGCCATCGCATATAGAAAGAAGTGCTGGCCAGTTCCCTTCTCCCGGGGCATAGGTGGGTCATGGGGGATTTCTCCTATGATGCTCTGATTACCCCTTACAATGTCTGACATATTATACATGTACAAATTGCATATTTACTAGTTCTTTTCCAATCACCTTTGAGTGATATGAATATTAAGTATCTTATATAGGTTCATGCATGTGTAGTGTATGACATTTCCTTAGCAGGGCTTTTTTTTGATGTTTTCATGTTCTTGTTCTCATCTCTGATTGGTTTATTACCACTGTTTATGCACACGTCACTTTGACCTTTGTCTCCACACAGGGGGTATTGGACTTTGCTAACTTCCCTGTAGCTGGATGCACAGCCCCCCTCAGCCTAGCTCCAGCCCTTCAGTGCCACCCTCCCCCCACTGCACAACCCCCCTCAGGTCCAGCTCCAGTCCCTCAGTACCGCCCCTCACTGCACAGCCCCCCTCAGTCTAGCTCCAGCCCTTCAGTGTCTTTCCCCCACCTCACAGCACCCCTCAGCCTAGCTCCCCAGCAGCAGCAGGGATGAGGGACAATGGGAAGTCACTTCAGGGAGCCACCAGAGGTGAGTCTGCCCTCCCCCCCAAGAATTTGTTCCACCCTGTCCCCTGCTCACAACAGACCCCCGTCCACAGCCAGAGCTTGTCCCTATGTCCTGGTCAGGAGGCAGAGGTGGTTCCCACCCACCCTGGGATAACCCCTGCCCAGAGGGGGTGCCCTGGTCACAGTGAGGGGATGGGTGGGAAACCCTGCTCCACTGAGAGACACACACCCCGCCCTGCTTCCCACATCCCATGATGGGGGATTTCCCATGTAAGGGACTGTAACATGAGTGGACTCACCCCTGCAGCACCTCCTGCTGGTCATCTAGGGAATTAGCTCACCAGCTTCTGGAGCGCTCTCTGCAGGCTGGTGATCCGCCTTGTCCTCTGCACTGGCCCGTGTCGCTCCCAAGACCCCAGTGCCCCTTGCTCTGGGTGCTGCCCCCTGGCAATACCCACACACTAGGTCTCCCCTCCCAGGGGAACCCCCACCCACTAACCCCACCTCACCTCAGAATAAGGTCACTGCCAGTCACCATCTAGCCCCCACTCTCTGGGGCAGACTTCAGTATAGGCCACTCATCAGCAAGGTTGGGTTTGGTCCTGCTGCCTTGGCCTAGCTCTGGGCTGGGCTGCCCTCTGCAACCCCCAGTACCCCTTTGCCTGCCACTAGGCCACAGCCTGGGGCTCCCCAGCCCTGCTCCACTCAGGTACACTATCCCTCACTTGCTGCAGCCAGGCCCTTCTCTCTCTGCAGTCAGAGAGAGACTGCTGAGCTCTTGCCACATGGGGCCACAACAGGGGTACCCCTAACTCACCCAGCAATATTGTCAATTTATCCAGCTA